ATAAAAATAAGTTTTACTTTTAACATTAACATTACCGAAAATGATTTAATTTAAATAACTGATGAAATTTAAGTTAATTTTTATTTTTTTAATAAATTAATAATAAAAATATATAATAAATTTACTCTTTAAATTTCATAAGTTAAACTGTACCTTTTACTATATGATTTGGCCTTAGAAAACACTTTTAGGTTCCACTAAACAAATAAAAATTTCTTAAATAATATAAAAATAATAATTTTAATAAATACTTTTAGTTGTATTTAATAATTTTAATTAAAAAATATAAAAATAATTTATATTATATAATAATTTTTTTTTTTAAACATTAAAAATAAGATTCAAATCTTTTACCTACCAAACTTAATATAAAATGTTCTTTATAATATAAAAATAGAGACAACTATTAAGACACGAGGAGATTTTTATATTGCATGATAATTTCTTAAAATAAATAACTTTCAAAGCAAAATAAAATACGTAAATGGATGGCAACAAACGTACACAATGAACAGAAACAGAGAAAGCAACACGAAACAAATTTTAAAAAAAATAAAAATAAAAATAAAAAGTGAGAAACTAAAAGCAGTGGGTACGTGGCAGTTAAGGGGCACTAGAAGTCAAATCGTTTGCTACACCAATCGTCCTTATTACTGCCTGCTGCCCTCCTCCTCCATAGCTATGACGGCCCCACTCCCCCCATCTCCTCTCCGTCTCTTCTTTCTCCTCCTATTTATTTTTACTCCTCCAAGAAACCCCGAGAAAGTGAAGGGAAAATTTTTAGAATGAGCTATGGTGGGTTTAAGTATAATTTTGGAGAATCAAAAGACAGGTTCTAGGAGTAGCCATAAAACCCCTCAAATCATCAACAAAGCCACCATGCTCACCACAAAACCTGCTTCGTCATCTGTTTGTAGAAATTCCCCTGTGAACAATTTCTCCGTTCCGGCTGCTTTTCTCGACCATTGCTCTCTCTGCCACCAGAAGCTCTTACCTGGCAAAGACATCTACATGTACAAGTAAGAGAGCTTGCTTTTGGCTGCCTTTAGCTTTCTCCCGTCTTCAGATCTTTACGGTTTTTGATTTGCAGGAACCCAGATCTTGCGGTTGTCCTTTTTTGCATATGATGTGTTTGTTTTATTGTTTGTGTGAATGGGAGTTGATTGATTCAGGTGGGTTCGGTTTTTTCTTTTTGTAAATTTGGCAGAGGGGACAGGGCGTTCTGTAGCGAGGAGTGCAGGTGCAGGCAAATTTTCATGGACGAGGAAGAGAGTATAAAGAAAGGGAACTGTTCTTTCGCCACCATGAAGCCTCCAGCGTCGACGGAGGTGTCAGCACCACCGCCGCCTTCTTCTACCCCTTCTTCGTCGTCTTCTGGTTCTCATCACCGCAAAACTGGAAGAAACCTAGCGGGTGGTTTTGCTTGCTAAAAGGGGAGAGGAACTAAAAATGTTTCCTTTAATTTATATTTTTCCTTTTAAAACTATCGTATTCCAGTTTTACCCTTGGGGTATTTTATTATCACATCTGTGCCATCTGTTTTTTTTTGTTTCCTGGGATGAAGCCAAGATGAGGAGGCATTTACTATTTTACTGCGAAGAGCATGTTTTCTCTTCGCGAATTTTGTGACTTTGGAAAGGGTATTTCTGGTTTTTAATTAATATATATTCTATTTCCCAAGGCATGGTTAATTACCAAATATCAATTTCATTGGTTAAATAATTATTTTGAAGAAGTATTCTACATTTGTATAATTATTTTAAGAGTTTTTTTAATATGTGTTTTAAGGTTTTTTTTAATAAATACATATAATAAAATATAAAAATCAACATTAATTTTAATATTAATATTATGTTAATAAATTTAATTGGATAATTTATAAATTAAAAATTAATTTTTTTAATATTAATTTATTTTTAAAATATATTTATTATATTTTTAATCTTTATCTTTAGACAAACTTTTATTTTAAAAGAATACGAAATATTAATTAAAATTACTTTAATAAGAAAAAATTAACATTTTTAATAATAATTTGATGATTAAAAAACCATGTTAACAATGTATTGTGAAGAACATTGTGTATGACAATCACAAATTTGGTGATTTTTATCCATTTATAAAGTTATTCTTGTCATCTCTTCACTCCACGCTTTAAAAGAATCCACTCAAGATGGTTCTTTTACAAGAATTATTGATTGGATAAATTGACTCTAAATGTAAATCATCTTTGGTACGTTTTGAGATGAGATGGATGAACTTAATGTGAAGAATAAAGTAGTTTTACACATACTTATAATTTTTTGAGATAGTTAATATTTTTAAAAATTAATTATTAGATTAAATGTTTTATTTATAAAAATTGTGCATATCAAATTTCAAATTAATTGACTTTATTTTTTTTTTCATTGATTATACAAAAAAAGGGCAATATTATTATAATACATGTTAAAAAAATATAATTTCTTTAATCAAATAATTACATATTCTAATCAAATGGTTATACATGTTAAGTTGACTTAAAAACTTGGCATATGATATACATTAATAGAACATATTTTTAAAATGTTAAGTTATGGAAACTCTTAGCCATTTGTAACTCTCCTACATGTATAAAAGTTGATTCTCATTTTGAAATTATAGTAGTTAATAATTTAATTGAAGTGTTCTACTAGTACAATAATGGAGGAAATAGGAGAAAGAATGTTTTGTCACACTTTCTAAGAAAAGGCGATTCCATTGATTTGTCAATTTCTATTTTAAATATAACATTAATTTTTTTTTCCGATTTTAACTTGATAAAGACTTCCTAATTACTGTTTGAAAGACCAGTACAAAAAAAAAAAAAGTCTTTGAAAAGAGACTTAATAGATATTTTATTTTGAAAAAAAAATCCCATGCAAAGGTATTAAAGTTAAATACTAAGAGTAAATATGAAATGTTAACTATAATAATTATGTTTATTATAAATTTTTATATTTTCTCTATGATCTTGTTAAGCAAAATTGTGATAAATAAATACAACCAAAGGGTGTTGTACACTGGAGAAAACAATATAGTATGGCCCCCAAAAGCACAATTTGCAATTAAGGATCATAAAAGATTGGTTCATTGAGTAATACCACCCTGAGGTTTTGTCAGTTTCTTAAATTCTAAATTTATTTCAACTATGGTGCGTAGGAATGGCATTTTGGCTGCACCATTAATGCATGTAATGAGCTATTTTGTCTCTTTGCAGCAAAATAGCAAAACTGCCCCAACAATTGAGTTTTTTCCCTCTAAATATTGATACCGTTTAAATTCTTGGCTGCCCACTGTTTCCTATGCAACTGGGCAGCTAGTATATGGGTTTTATTGACAATCAACACATGTCAATTGGAAAAAATTTTGACATTAATTCATTTTACGTTTTTTCATCTATGGACAATTATTATATTTACAAAAGTGCAAATAATGACATCCTGTTATGTTCTTTTTTTGGACAATTATTATATTGAAAAAAGTGCAAATAATGGCATCCTGTTATGGTTTTTTTTTTTTTTTTTTTTTTGTTTAATATGTTTATAAAGATTGGATTCGAATAGTTGTTGCTTAGGGCAGAATGTGCTTCAATGTGATTTTGTTGTCACAGGGTTCAACAGCTCAAGTACTGTTATATTTTTTTAAATGTTAAAATTTTTAGTGAAATTATTTAAATATTGCTAATGAGATTTTTTTTTGCATATTAATTTATTAAGGATATTTTAATTTTTTTCATTAACATTTCTAAAATTTTAAATGATAAACTGTTTTGAATTTCCCTAATCTCTATTATATTTATAGCAACAGTGTACAATGTTTTGTGCAATATAACAAGATATTTTACCAAAACATTCATGTTTTTTAGATTAGCTTGCATATTAAAAATTTAATTTGTGTATTGAAATTATTAAAATGTCATTGAATAAATAACATAAAGAAAAGTTTAATTAAAAGTATTTTAATAAAATTTATACAGCAGACTACATTTAAAAAAAATAATGACCTAAAAAATACTTTTTCATAGTATGAATTGATATATATTATTTTATTTGTGAATTTTAAATAAAAAAAATTAATTGCAAATATTAAGTTACTATTATATAGTATAGATTTTTTTTTAAAAAAGTTGTACGTGCATCATTTTTATATTTTTATAATATTAAATTATATAATAAAAAATAAATTTTTTCATCTTTTAATTTTTTTATTTACAAATCATTAAATTTAAATTTTTTTATTTTTATTAAAAAAAATTATTGCAAGATGACCACTTAAGCCATTGGCCCCATCATTTATGTATTGGTCAGGCTATACATATAAATAATCTTTATTCATCTCAAAGTCTTGAATCAATTCTTTCATTTAAGTCTCATCAACCCAAACAGTTGAGTTTGAGTCATTCCCCTGTGGATGTTTGTCTGTTCGGTTGTTACTAAATTGTCATCACAAGAGAACAGTGTACCTACAACAGTTCATCTTGAAATAGATTAGTCATTTTATCACACTAATTTTTCTTGAAAGAGGACTTGGTTCAAGGCTCAAGGTGAAGTACTACCTTGCTGCTCTCAAGAGTAACAAATTAAAGAAACAAGGAATAATTAACTAAATTCTATAAGCTAACCGACCATGCAACTCAACAATTTGACAATTCCATATGTCTTCCAAAATTGTTTGTTTAGATTTGACACCCTAATTCAAATTATAATGAAGTTTTGTAACTGTAGTAATTCATGTATTATGCTGTCTTTAAAAGTTATATGTTCTGTTTGGTTGCCGTTAGCTGATAGTTAAAACTTGATAGGAACAATTGATATCTATTCTTTAGGTGTTTGAAATTAGCCAAGTTGATGTTTTGAAACACCCTAATTAGTTGTTCAAGGGGGAAAAAATGCTGTAAGCTGATAAACTAGGTCAAATTAAAGATACCCATATTAGTTCTTGATAATTATTGAAATATATAAAAAAAA